TCGCGACGCGATTGTCATAATGGATTTCCAGAATTATCATTAGAAATTTCTTTTTGTGCTATTTTTCTATGATGGTAAAAGAGGCCGGAGGAAGCTTTACCAGAGGAACCAACTCACCCCTGAATTCAGCCCTTGCGCTCTTTGCTCGGGCATTCGACCCGTACCGCATCTACTGTTCTACCCTCGGGCATCCGACGCGCTTTCTGCCTGTTGTACCACTCGTTTTATTCATTCGCGTTTACAGCTGTTCATGAGTTATATCTGCCGAACTGAATATGTTTGACCTAGCGGAGAATTTCCACTACAACTTGGCTGGGGAGTGGTAACACCCGCAGCTGCATCAAGCGAGTGGCTGCGCGACTAGGTTTATGTTTCCTGTGGCTGGAAATCAGTGGTTTCTGAATGCCAAAAACAGGAAACTTCGTTAGAGTTGTGTAGTTTTTGCGTTTCTTGCGTACACTGCATTGCATTTACGCCAAATGGTTACACTCTGCAAATATAACATACCCGCTGCAGATGCATACGGCACATGGTGGGGAGACATTCGAAAGCAGTATGAAAAACGGTCTGCAAGATTTCGACTTCCAGAACAGTTCAACGCTTGTGCCGTCGCCTTCTACAGTTGTTGATGCTGCGGTTGTCGAGCTAATTACATAGCATAAATTCAAAAACACAAATTGGCGACTTGTCTTTGCTTGTATCTGTTTGTCTGTATGTTTGACTGTGTGTCCAGGTTCATCAGATTCCGCCACTGGACAAAACTGAAATAACTGGCCAACGGGGCTGCCTGTGCTAAGATGCGTTTTTTGCATAGTTCTGCGCAGTTTTTGTCACTACTGGAGCAGGTTTTTTCTGCAAATGCTTCTAGCTAAACAAATTAAGACTAGTCACCTGAACTGGCAGCAAACACCACTTTAAAATTTCAGCTTTCTAGCTTTCCTGGCTCTTCAGTTAGCAACTTACTGAAAAAAGCTTTCACGGTCCCGTACGTGGGTACTACGCACACCCGATGTCTGGGCTTGAGTTCTTTGAGACTTGCGTGGATGGGGAATATCTCCTTAAAATTTCAGCCCCCAAGTATTTCTGTCCCCGAGTTAGCAGCTCACCCATAAAAAATTTTGGCAGGCCCGTGCGCGGGTACTACGTTTACCCAGGGAGTTGTGTTTGAGCTCATTAATATCTACTTGGACGGGGAACCCTTTTTTCAGCCTCCCAGCGTTTTTGGTTCCCGAGTTAGCAACTTACCCTAAAAGACTTTGGCGGGTTCTTGCGTGGGTACCACGCAGACAAGACCGCCCATTTTGGGGATGGGGCCCATACGTGCAAGTAGATTAAGCCCCCAATGTTTCAGCTTTGTAGCTTTTATAGATCTCGAGATGAAAAATCGGTACAAAGGTCCTGCGCACACACATACACACACAAACACACACAGACGCACACACAGACACACGCACAGACAACTCCTCGTCAATATGCGTTTTTGCATATATGTAAATTGCAAAAACGCATATTGGGAAGAGGCTGTCTGTATGTATGTGTGTGTGTGTGTGTCTGTGTCGATGTGTTCG